GTACTGAAACCAGCCTCTGAACATGCGCTTGCGTGTCTGCTATCTAGACTGCCGTGAAGCTGGACTGTGCTGCTACCTAGTGATACACATAGAGAACTTATTACGTCTATTAGAGTTGTTTTACTTTTATTTTGACTCATTTACTGACTCTACCTCGTATTATCTTTCTTAGACAAGCATTTCCCACCTATGGATTATATGCATGTTTCGTTGGCTTTCCTAACAATTTATTATCATGTACAAGGCATTCCCGAATTCCGTCAGTTCTCAATTTCTTCACCAATGCAGTTTTCATTTGCAACGGGCGACGATCGACTATTTTATTTAATTTCTTTGCGTTTATTTCTAGTGCCATTTTGGTTTTTTTTTTAATAAAATAACATTATTGACAGAAACCAGAAGATAATTATAAACAGATCAAATTCTTTACACTCAGCTACGTTTGCTCCTGATTCATTGAACAGGGATAGCTCAATCGGTATAGCGACGGGTTGAAGGACCGGGGTTCGATTTCTGACGGGAACAAGAGATTATCTGCTCCAAACCTGCAATTGAACCCACATAGCCTCATATCCAGTGGGTACCGGGGGTTTCCCCGGAGTAAAGCGGCCAGGGCAAATACGGTGGAGATATACCTCCACTTCCTCACACGTCCTCTTAGTGTGGTGCATAATTAATTAATAAACAGTGACAAATTCACATTTTATCTTACATGAATTAATAATATTAACTATTGGACTTTTTGCGGACTACAGAACTTCTTGTTCTGTCTGTACAACATCCATATATCACGCACCCTCCCCTTTATGTATGTCCAGCACAACATAGTGGCTTACTGAGACCGAGACTAAACCTCTATCCACCCTATATCAGGTCTATTTAAGGGTGGCTATACGAATATTTTAAGACAACCCTCCAACCCATCTCTTTTCGTCTCTCTTTTATCTTCCAATTGTTTGTCTCTTTTCTACTCTCTTTGTCCGACATAACCATCTCTGCATGCACTGGCTGCATCTTATGAATGTTTCATGAAGCGGATATATGCACATGAGTCACTGCACTGCACGGTTACTCGAACAATTTACCGTCCATATCAGCAACCACTTCAACACTGTAGCAGATGGCTGGCACAAAATTTGCTATAATTTTGGGCACAAATTTTATAAAGTATGGATTACCATCCAAGAGCCGGGAAAGCATAGTCGGTATAACGACTTGCTAAAGCCTGAACAACCGAGGGTTCGGAGTTCAAGTCCAGGTAGGGTCGAGAAATTTCCCTTTTCCACGTCGTCCAGGCTGGCTCTGGGGCCCGACCAGCCTCCTATCCAAAGTGGGACAAGAGTCTTTTTCCTCACGGGTAAAGCATCCGGGGTGTGAAGCTGACCACTCACTTCCAACTGGTGCCAAAGAAAATATGGATCTATACTTCCACTACTCCATACGCCTTCATGGCGTAAGGCTTAATTATTTACCGGGACAACTTTACCTTTTACTATATGGATTAACAATAATTTTTGGATGACGGAAAAGTAGGGACAGTTTATATTTTATAGTTGGTACCAATGGAAAAATGGACGTTTAACTAAAAAAATTAGATTACAAATAATATTACAAAGTAGTACAAAGTATTATTTCGGTAAGCTTAATCTTATAAGAACGATATAACGGATAAGCAGTTTTCTTGGAAGATTACTGTCAACAGAGCCTGTCGTGTAATGAGACACTTGAAAATGATCTAAAAAACTTCCCATCAATGGACAGAGATTCCCCTGTAGACTAGGAACAATGTTATAGGATTTAATCAACGAAGAAATAAGATATAATTGTGAACATTTTGAAATTGACGCAGTTGGCGGTCTCTGGTGTAGGGTTCCGAAACAACTAACAGCTGGATAAGGCCGCGCCATAGCTCAAGCAGTTAGTCACTGCTTCCCACCGCGGCGGCCCGGTTCGATCCTTGGGTCTGGTCAAGTGGGATTTGTGATGGACAGAGTGGCGCTTGGGCGGGTCTTCTCCGAATACTTCGGTTTCCCCTGCCAATCTTCATTCCACCAAATTCTCCATCATCATAATCACCCAGGGCAGGTACAATAGGCCAATCAGTGGTCGCCGTGCCGAGTGGACCCAGTTGGACTCCATCCCCCACTAAGCGAATTAAAAAAATCCTGTTGGATAAACGCGTATGTCCGTTATTCTGTTGCCTATGTTGAATTATGGGATTCATTGCTACAGATCTGTTCACTGGTTGACAAATTTCTGGTAAATTGTTTAGGAACATCGGTAAAATGGATTCTCTTGTAGTTTGGTTACTTTAACCACAACGAGAACAGCGGTTACAAAGCTCAACATAGGATCTTAAAATTATGTGACACATTTCTGTCAAACGTACAACTCATATTAATGTAACTCGTTAATGTTGTATTTCAGAATCCTCTTGCTTTGAAGTACCACTTCCTCTATATTTCAACGCACTTTTTAATTTATGACACCAAACTTACATTTTACTCACTAAAATGTCAGTTAAAATATTCTTAAACTGCCCGTAATTATATATATATACATATTGTAAGGTGTTCAGGCGACTGAGACGCGGGTTTGGTTTGTTAATCGGTTTTATTAACAATCTACAGATCGTAACTGCAATTAATTGTAACACTGTTACTGAATTACTTAATTTACATCCATTAAACACTGATCTCCTCAGTCTCTCTGCACTACTCTTCACGGATTTGCACCACAGGAACTACAGTATAACAGTCTCCCTAAATCACACACTCTCAATACCACTGCACTATAGCACACATAAGGTCTTCAAATCACACGACGAACTTCACGTGGCTATCTGCCACCGAGAACTTTCTCAGTCTCGCTTAAACACTCTGAAATACTGTCAAACACTGCCTTGGTTATTCCTGGTATCTCGTTATATAGCCTCCACACAGAACACATACAGAAAACAGCCTATAATGTTAAAATGTGTTTACTGAACTATTGCACGGCAAAGGTCGCGGCACGGACTCCATAGAATGCCAGTTACGTGATAGCCAGTACTGTTGCAGTGTGACGTCATTGCGTCTATGCGGAAGTCTATTTACTGAACCGTTGCCTAGCAGCGGGTTGCATAAACTCTTTGTTCCATTGTTGCCAGCGTGTATCGCGTATATTTACCGGTCCGTTACCTAGCAACGCTCTGGCCATCAACGTTAAAATGAATTCTGTCGTCTATGTACATCGATGAATACTACCGATAAAGCGGGCACAGTGTAGTATATAAGGTTCCATCAAGAATGTGTTACCTGAAGATGGTCCCGTGAGGCCGAAACATGTAACCAGACATAAATTGTATATATATTTTAATGACATATTAGGAACATTTCAAGTAATATTTCAGTGATCAGAATGTAAGTTAGATGTCATCTAAAATAAAAAAGTGTTGTATTACAGACGGAAGAGAAATTGCAAGTGATGCTTCGTTAGAAATAAATGGAAATAGCATTGCGGATTCATAACTGTCTGGAAACCAAGTGCTCGAGAAAACTGTCTAGACTTTCGAGGGAAGAAACACGTGGACAGTGAAGTATACTATACAACTTGGAACTCTATGATAAGTAGTTAAGCCAATATGTTAATACAAACAGGACAAAGAATTCATTCAGAATTTTAATGGGGAATATATTTGAAAATGGTTATTTTAAAAACGAAAAAGGAGATAGGACTAGTTTTCTTGCTGGGAGATATATGAAATTGGCTGATGATAGTGTCAAATGGCGATGTTAAGAACTGTAGATTCTATTACCAGATGTTTAATCAGTCATTTAACTAAATTAAACCAGGAAGTGCAACCTAAATATTTTATACATTCAGTACTGTCTGTGATCAACAATTATAGTGTCCTCACACTAACCGGGGTATTGGACTCTGTCCGTTGTCAGAACCATTTAGAATCTAGAAAATAAAACGTTTCGGAAACTAGATCTGATTCCGTCCTCAGGTGAGGGGAAAGACACCTACTCTGTTGGGTCCCTTAGAAAGAGTTAACCTCACTCACTGGACAACCCCTGTCATACTCACCACAGCCATTTAATTGCCTGAGACTTAATTCCGAGGGAAGCGGCCTCCGTAGTCTAGGGGTAACGTTCCCACCTCATGACTCAAGGTACGCGGGTTCAAACCCGGCGGAGGTCGTGGAATTTTTAAGGGCGGAAAAATTCAGGGAACAAGTCCTCCGGGAGGGACTTTAAGCTGTGGGTCCCGTGTCGTAGATTTACGGCACGTAAAAGATCCTCATGTCTCTAGGAGACCTTAGAGCAAAATTATTATGCAACAATTTCCCGCCCAAGTAGTTTCCAATGCCTCTGATAGATGTGGGAAATATCAGGTACCGACGGCCGACCTCATCGGCTGAACGGGGCTGATAGCACACACCAGTATCTGTAGGGTATGGCGACAGTAGAAATTAAAGGGGGACGCACAATGGACCAATAACTGGTCTAAGTGCATGGGGAAACCCATCCCCTCTAATTCAATTCAATTCTTTATTATTAATGTGCCGAGTCAACAGCCGCAAGGCCAATTACAGACACAGCACAGTGCAGATGAATGAAAATAATAATAATAATAATAATAATAATAATTCGGAGGGAGATAACAGAAATTATGCCCTTAGAAATTCAATGATGATTCATTTCTCTCGTATTTTCATAATTTACGGCTTTCTGTATTTATTTTACCCATTTCTCTTCCTCGTTCTCTTGTTTATGTATGAAAATAATCAATTAAGTTGCATTTCTGTCCTGTAGATGGCAAGCTACGAACATTGAGCTGCCATCTGTGTAAGTACGTGAAAACTATTACGGCGTGAGAACAACATAACATACATACACAATCAAATGACACTCATGAAGTTTTAAATCCTTTCATAATATGCTGGAACCTGTGAATTATAAATTATATGATACTGAAAATATGTGCCTGCTTAATATTTGAGAAGGTAAGCTTACTTCTTCAGTACGGCCTCAGCTGGTAGACAGTCGCCGGCCATTGTATTTGTAACACTCCAGCACTGATCTGCATCCTGAAAGTAAAATTTTAATGTTGAAATTAAATTCAACTCCAAGACACTGGAGGCATACATCACGTAAGAAAATGTTTACTGCAACAAGCAGATGCGACATTTGAACGTCTGAAAATATGCTAAGAGTACAATCCATCGGGTTACAGATCTTGGTTATTAAAAAAAAACCGTATCGACTAAATCCCTAACCTTATAATACTGGGGGCACACGGTAGCATAGTTGGTTGAGGCACTATGCTATAAGCCGGAAGGTCGCAGGTTCAAGTCCCGATGTCATTGGATTTTTTCAATTGACCTAATCCTTGCGGCTGCACTATGACCCTGGGGTTCACTGAGCCTCTAACAGAAATGAGTACCAGGAATTAATTAAATAATTTTCCTGGGGAGTAAAGCGCGGCCAGAGAGCAAGACTGACAACCTTACCGCCATCTTTGAGCCAATTGTCTAGATAATGTGGGAGCCTCAACGTCTCACAACCTTATGGACCTTCACGGCCTGTTACAGGGATAGTTTTTTAATAATATTAATTCCTCTTATTCTCTCTTTTCTCTTAATTTATTTCTTTTTTCCTTCCCTTGTTTCTCATTCTGACTTTATAAAAAGTATGCAATATCAGACAACATGATGTGAGTTAACTAACTTGAACCCTTCTGTATAAACATGATAAGCCGAAAATATGGATCAATTAACATTTCTTCGCTAATATAACTTACTATTGGTCGTAACAGTACCAGGAAAGTATGCGATTATAGAAGTTCCAATGTTATAGTATGTGTCGAAGGTCCGACATTACGAACCCACACAGGGTTTACGAAAGTAATAACAATTATATATATATATTTGTGGGGCATGCGGTAACGTAGTTGGTTGAGTCACTATGCTACAAGCCTGATGATCGCGGGTTCGAGACTCGATGAGGTGCAATTTTTAATTCACCTAATCCTTCCAGCCGCATTATGGTCCTGATGTCGACTCAGATTCTAACAAAAATGAGTATTAGGAATATTCTTGGAATGTTCCTGGGGATAAAGGGCGGCCGGCGTGTAAGGCTGACAACCTCACCGCCAACTATGAGGCGACTGTCCAGAAAAAATGTGGAAGCCTCAACAGCCAAGAGTGCTGGACACGGCAGTGCCCATTTCCCCAAATTTTTAAACTAATTCTGGCCCATAATCATTGTAGTGGAAATAAGACAAAATAGGCCACTGTAATTTCGCTAAGGTCAATTAAAATTTTCCTGTATGTCACATTTTCTTTTTCCGCGGAGTCTTGTATAACAGAACGGATACCTGTCTGTCTATCTATCTATCTATCTATCTATCTGTCTGTCTGTGTCTCTCTCTATCTATCTCTCTCTCTGTCTATCTATCTATCTATCTATCTATCTGTCTGTGTCTCTCTCTATCTATCTGTCTCTCTCTGTCTATCTGTCTATCTATCTATCTATCTGTCTGTCTATCTATCTATCTATCTATCTATTCCTGTTGCTCCCACTTGGAGCAGTGAGCATCCGTGAACGCATTCGTTTCACTTCAGTTTCTTAAACTTAGGCATTCGGTAGGACTCCTTGGATGAGGGATCAGCCAGACTCAAGGCCGATACCTACACGGGAGTACACAAACACAGAATAAACGTAGAAAAACATCGATGCCTTGAGTGGGATTCAAACCCGTGATCCCAGCGTTCGAGCGGACGAAGACGGTTCATGCCTTATACCGCGCGTCCACCGTGATCGGCGGATAGCTATTAGAAATATGAAATAAGTCCAGATGTACTTGAATGTAAGCTCCCTGTAATGTCTCGGCAATTCCACATTTGGACATACTGTTCATGATCACAGTGGTTCTGGAAACGTTAAGCCGTGTAATCAGCGAGGCGACCACCAAAGTTTCAGAGGAGTATACTTCTCTTCCTGTGTTATGTAGATGGAGCATGCAGGTTCCTCCGAAACGCCTGTTAGAATCTCCCTATCCTGAAAGGCGTCAAATCTCTGAAGGCTACAGTCTTAACAAGTTCATTGTTGTCTGTGTTATATTTATAGGATTTCAGGAAAATATAGAATTTAAATTAACAGAATTTATTCTTACTGCTACATATAAACGAAGTATTGAATTAGATACACCCCAGCACGTAACACACATACAAAATAAAATAAACCCGTCTTCACTATAACAAAAGAATAATCTTGTTTGTAACGTACCTCGTGATGCATGTGCGACCATAAGTTTGTCTAAGTAAATACAATGGCAGTGAACAACAAGAAAGCAACAATACATTCTAATACAAACTGCTTCTCTTTCATAACTCCACACGTCATCGTATGAGATACATCCAACATTCAGATACTCGGTGATTCGAAAAGTAGTTCCTGTCTATGTACACAATTGAGTAGAAAATATTCACTGAAGTAAACTGAAGAAGAAAGTAATGTAGTCTATGAAAATTAGATGCAAAGCTCGTGACGATGGTACACTACGTTTCTGGACATTATCCATCGCCCTGTTATCAAAATATAACGTTCTGGGGACTGGATTCTGCCTCCGTTTTCAGGTAAAACCTACTCAGTTAGGCCTAATCGATAGAGCTAGTCCCTGTCTCCCGGAATAGGGAACAGATCTATCGAGTCCAGTCTCTGAAACGTTGTTTTGAAATATAAACAAAAGGACATTTCAGATAAAATCAAGACTATGGATAATGTCCATAAACATTATTTGTAGTAATGTAGTTTATGTATGCTACCCGCAACCTTTGATTCTTAAAAGACATTTTGAGTCTATACGACTCTCTTTACTGTGACTTTCATGATTTTCCTCAAATCATTCAGATCTATGCTCAGTAATTCTAAAAGTATTTCAAGTAAGACACTTCTTAAATCGTTACACCAGTATCTCGCATGACAGAAATAAGTGAGTGAAATGGAAAATGTAAGAGAGACGAATAATTATATTTAACGGAAATTGGCCTTCTTATGAGATAAAATAATAAAAGAATTTCCTCTCCCACAACCGGATACAGTTGCATCCTTGTAAGTACCGGGTCAGTCATCAGAAAGAGTGAAGCATGTTCCTGACGTTGCAGGCCAGAAGATGGCACAACAAAAGGCTTAAATTTTATTACTTCTCTTTTTCTTCGCCTTATTATTCTTCTCTTCCTCTTTCATATTTTCCTGCATCTAGTGTTCCTTCTCGTATTTCTTTTTCAGCTAACCTTGTTCCTCTTCTACCTTTTCTAACCGTCTTTCTTACATTTTTCTCCATTTCTTACACTTATTCTTTCTTCATCCGTTTTGTTCTTTCCCATAATTTCTTCATTTATGTTTCCTTCCCATTTTTATTTTCTTCTTCTACTAATTCTTCTTTCGTATTTTCCCCCAGCTTCTTAAATGTTTTAACCGGGGAAAATTGGGTTCTAAGAATGTAGATAGCTCTAACAGTCTCTCGTGTGCATCTCCGCTCTTCTCGACACGATCTCTGGACGTTTGCGTGGATAACTTACGGTAATTTTCTGTTTGAACGTCGGTATGGACACAACATGTGAGGGTTTGCAGAATTGTTCAGAGAGTGCTCTCAAACTCTCAGGCTCCTCAATATAATACGCGATGCGTGTTCAAATCAACAGACCAACAGCGCATAAAACGTTATTTTCAACTGCATATATCGATAGTTTAAACATTTAAATCAAATAGGTTATACAATTGCCGTTACCGGTCTATCGTTAGTGTAGAGTACTCAATATTGCTCCAGATACTCTCTTACTGAATTGAAAATGAGACAATGGAGCCACCTGCAATCTTGGTCTCCTCAGTCTCTGGAAAACCCATGCTCATTCACTTGCCTTTCCGATTCTATTGAGAGACCTGTAAGCGTTTTACAGTATGAATATGTGTAGGAGAGTCTCACACATGGAGAAGGCTTCAGTATTTTTCTTCATACATGTGCAAGGAGAAAGCCTCATAATAATTCAAAACTCGCTAATCCTATGCATAAATAGTTATATTTTTTATTTACTAAGCAGGAAATGCAAAGGAAGTAAAACTTAGATGTTCAGAAACACAAAAGGCCGTGCCGTTAAAAAATGACCATAAAAACAAAATCTCTCCTGAACCCTTGATTCGCTCTCTTCCTTCCACCCTTAATTCTTTATTTCTTTAGTTCTAATCGCTGAATGCGCCGGTCACGGTAGCCGAGCGGTCTAAGGCATGTACTGTCTTCTCTCGCTCGGGAGCCAGGATCGTGGGTTCGGATCTGTTTCCTGTGGGGTACGAACTGAATTCTTATATATTATTCTTATACACTGCCGGTCACGGTAGCCGAGCGGTCTAAGGCATGCACTGTCTTCTCTCGCTCGGGAGCCAGGATCGTGGGTTCGAATGTTTCCTGTGAGGTACGAACTGAATTCTTATATATTATTCTTATACACTGCCGGTCACGGTAGCCGAGCGGTCTAAGGCATGCACTGTCTTCGCTCGCTTGGAAGCCGGGATCGTGGGTTCGGATCTGTTTCCTGTGAGGTACGAACTGAATTCTTATATATTATTCTTATACACTGCCGGTCACGGTAGCCGAGCGGTCTAAGGCACGTACTGTCTTCGCTCGCTTGGAAGCCGGGATCGTGGGTTCGAATGTTTCCTGTGAGGTACGAACTGAATTCTTATATATTATTCTTATACACTGCCGGTCACGGTAGCCGAGCGGTCTAAGGCATGCACTGTCTTCGCTCGCTCGGAAGCCGGGATCGTGGGTTTGAATCCCACTCAGGGCATGGATGTGTGTATGCGTTTTTATGTGTTTGTGTACAGGTAGAGGCCTTGCGACGAGCTGATCACCCGCCCAAGGAGTCTTACCGTATGTGTAAGATCTAGAAAAACCGAAGTGAACGGAGAAGTTCATGGAGGTAGGCCTAGGCCTAATGGGGCTGTAGTGCCAAGGGAAAAAATCGCTGAATGCGGACAAGTCAGTGTATCTGTGTTACACCGCCACTGTTCAGCCCTTCAAGAGATA